GAGTCTCTCGATAGTGGGGTATCATTCCTCGAATCCACTTAGAATATAATCGATATAATAGATAGCTTCTAAATTCTTGAGTCATCCCATACTAATGTCGAGCTATAGCTAGGTCAATGGTAGTGAGGTAGAGACTTAGAATTTCACCTAAGGTAGAGGTGAGTTATGACAACTAGGTGAGGTAGTCCTTCAACCTTTCAAAAGTCTCATGACACTCTTTGGTTCATAGAAAGCCCTTTGGATTCTTTAATTTCTAAAAGCAAGGTGGGCACATCTCTAATATAACTCAGACATTCGAGGTTTACATGTATTTCTGTCTGGTGCATAATAATTCGAGGATATTTCCCGAGTTGATTTTGAAAGCACATTTGGTTGAATTAAGGCAAATGTTAAACTTTTTTATAACTTAAAATGTCTCAACTAAATCTTCCAAATGTGAATTAATCGTCCTGCTCTTTATTATCATGTCATCTACATATGCTTGAATATTTCTCTCGATTTAATGTTTGAATTTTTCGTTCACCATCATTTGGTATATCGTCCCAATTTTTTTTAACCTGAATGACATAACTCAGTAGTAATAAAAGAAGTGTGTTCTCGATCCTTTGGTACCATTTTGATTTGGTTATACTTAATATTGCATCCATAAGGTGAGACGCTCATAACCAAGATAGCATCAACCAACTAATCAATTCGAGGAAGGAGATAGTTATCCTTTAGTCATACCTTATTGAGATCGATATAGTTAACTCATATCCTTCAATTTTTATTAGACATTTTAACGAATAAAATATTGGCGAGCTATTGGGGTTACTACACCTCAATAATAAATCTTGCTCTTAACGACTTATCTATCTCATCACCAATTGCCTAGGGATGGTCAAGATCAAACTTATGATGCCTTTGCTTCATTGGTCATACCTCGGGAGAAATGTTTAGGTGATATTGAGTTATATTGAGGTCGATTCCCGGCATGTCTCTCGATGACCAAGAAAACACTTTAGCGTTCTTCAGAAAAAAGTTGATGAGTTGCACTCATCTCTCTTCGAAAAGTGTTATCCCAACCTTGATAACTCGATCGAGTTAGGCCTTGTATAGGGGTGCTTTAATCGGTGAGTCCAATAATTCAAGATGTGGGATAGACTTAGCGAAGTCTTAAGGGTCTATAAATAGCATCTCAGTTCAAGCCTTTTTCAATATGGAGATTGTTGTCAAGTAGCACTAGCATGACTCTCCTGGGTTGCTTCTTAGCTCTCTGATATCGATTCTTATTGGGAACTTCATCATCATGTGTTAGGTCAACACCATCAGTCTTTGTCTATTTAGTATGGGTCTACCTATGATTGCATTATATGCCGAGGAAATATTCACCATCATGAATTTATCCAGTATTATTTTAGAGCAAGGCTCATCCCCGAATATGATGTGTAGGTCCATGGTCTCGAGAGGAGAGATAGAGCCACTAGTGAACCCCATCGGTGAAGTTATATGAGTAAGGTCGTTAATAAAAAACCCGAGTTTTTAGAAAGAATCAAAATAAAGGATATTGATAGAGCTATTTGTATCAATCATGACTCTCTTTACCCAAGCATTGATCATACTTATAGAAACTATCAAAGTATCATCATGGTTCGAGTCAAGGTACTTCATTTCTTTCTCCTTAAAGGTTATCTCTAGGTTGTCCTTCATTCTCGGGTGTTTTTCAATGGTATCTCAAGCATAATTTTTATGACTCGAGGAGTTGTCTTTCCTCGAAGTGAGTTCACTAATGATGATATTAATTTATCTCTCCATTAGCCCTTGAGATTAAGATGATGGCTCCTGGTGCTTTCGGACAAACTGCCTGAGGTGTCCTTGACATATGAGTTATTCAATCTACTCTTTCAAGTTGCAACAATTATTTGTGTCATGACTATAATCCCAATGGAACTGATAGTTTTGGACCTATCTCTTTTAACCAACAAAGTTTTTATTGGGTTAGGGTTTTTAAGAGCCGCTTCTCTTTTATCTATAGAAAAACTTTAGTTCTAGTTATATTCATGAGGTTTAGCTCGGACCTTGGTCGAGGTAACTCAGGTCCTTCAGTTCTCCTTCACTATGGTGACCTTGGGTCAAGATGGATTGTGGTTGCTCATACTTTGATTCCTCAAGCTTACCCAAGACTATTGCCTTTAACAGTAATGTATTGATTGACCCTTTAAAATACCGCTAATACCATCACTAATAGTGTCTCAATTAATGACCAAAATAGGTGAGAGGGTCTCAGCTCCATCATAATGGTCTATATTATGAGTAATTGATGGACATCTATCACGTCTCAAATTTCATTAGTGAACCGAGTAACGAAGTATGTAAGCATTTCCTTCTCCCCTTGCTAAGTTAGAGAAGTGTTACTATCGATGGCCTTGAGCACACATTTCCGAGGAAGTGAAGTTCGAACTCTTTCACTAGTTGAACAAAATGACTAATGAAAAGTGGCTTTAGGTAAGCATATTATTCTTATACTAGGCCTCTTAATGTGGTTTGGAATGTATGAAATATCAAGGCATCAAAAGTGTCATATGACATTTAGGTACGAAAAACTATAATGTGCTCCATCAAGTCAACATTCCCATTAAATGCCTCCAATGATGGGAGGCAAAAGTTTACTGAAAATAGTTCTTCCTAGATTTTTTTATTGAATAGCGACTAACCTAAGGTGGGGTTGACTACCGCTTCCCCGTTGGATTATTGGAACTCCCCTCATATTTTTTTCAAACGTCGATCCATCTACTATAGTTAGATACACAAGGAATCCTCTATCGAATCCGTTAGCTAGGTCTTGGATTCAACTAAGGTAGAGTAGTGGTGTGATCTATTGAATTCTACGGTTGAGGATCGAAATACTCCCTCGACTGACGATTTGATGAGTCTCAAGTGCTCTTGGGATGTCGACACCACATCGAGTGGGGGAACCTCGATGGGTGCTGATATTGATGCTAGTTGAGCAAGTGAATGACTGAGCTGGTGGCATCACCTGTTATACTAATTGGGGCAAAAGTGAAGTAATGACATGTATTATGTCTATTAGTGTCTATACTTATTAGGTAAGATTCAAGAATACTTCGATAGAGATGAGCAGGTGGCTCAAAGTTATCCTCGGGGGTAAGAGACTTAGGTCATTTAATATATGCTAATATCGTATCGATGTTTACACTGATGTAGGTACGTTCATGTGTGGAAATTATGACTATTTCTCTCCTTAGGTGAAAGTGCTATGGATCGGGGATAAATTCTTATCGTTGAGTGTTCATTGAGAGGATTGACAGGTGGGCGTTCCTACGACATCGAACCCTCCTTCTAGCACTAAAAATATTAAGAGAAGAAATCGTTGATGTCTTGGTTAGTCCGACATGGTTCGGATCTATATACACAGAGTTATCTAAGGTAGAAATGTCGAACTACTTAGGTGCCACTTGCATGAAACTGAGGTCAAGAGAGATTTTTCACCCACTCTCTTCGACGCTCAAGCTAGTAACATGATATATATGAGTGTATATATGAGTGATCAGAAAAAATAACCCCTTTTTTCTTGTATCGAAGATAAGTTTTTATACCTAGTGTTATAAAGGGGTATAAATGAAATATTATGTAGAGAGATAACATCTAACCTCCCTCCCTCTTCTTGGTCTCTTGTCTAGGTGAATGATAAAAGGAAGGGTAGCCCATAAGCACCTAGATTCTTACCCATGTGAGTAGATACGTGGAGGGTAATCTTTGTCGTCTCCATTCATCCTGAATATTACATGATGATTATATATCGAATGATAATTAAATGATGGTATACTGCAACCATCTCAATTTATGTAATTGAACATAAAAACTTTGATACTGACCGTATTAAGTCAATTCTGTTTTTTTGTAAGACATGTAGTTGAAATAAGAACTTGTGATCCCAGAAGGTTTCACATGTTCTACTGGTTATGCTGGACATGTTGAATAAGTGATTCTTGCAAGACCATGATTGCTCCAAAATGTTAGAGAATATATATATAATATATTAATATGACAACCAATTGATTTGTAGGGATTATTGGGCATAAATTTTAGCAAGGAAATCAAAGGCAAGATCGGAAGGAAGATTTGAGGAGATAGTTGTCTGCCTATTCAGATAAAAAAGAAACAATGAAATGAACCAACCACTGTTGCATCTGTGCATGCTTGTAAAAGAAGAACACATAATCTCATCATCTAGTAATAAAATATCCATATTCACCTTTGCACATGATTGATGGCTCTCCCAATTGGACTGCTAAGAAATTGTTCAAGCAAAAGAGGTGTTACATTTAAATGGCATCATTATGTTACTTGTGAGCAAGTCTGCTAGTTGTAAAGATTCTTTAGAACCCCATAAATCTCTTTTTTTTTATTAGTCAATCAATTATTTATTTTTGGCAGCTCCAGAAGGGTGTTGTTCTGTGAAACTATATGCATCTACAATCTGGATGGAGACTCCTTGAAACACACAAATCTTATCAACCAAGAACAACTTTGCTTAGAAAGATCCAGGATTTGATCTTACAATTTTACTATCAATAATCAATGATTTTACTAATATCCTCAAATCATCAAACCAATATTTTGGACATAAAAGCTTTGTCAGATCAATGTTTTAGATATAAAGAATGAGACTAATATCTCAAGCCAACACAATCAAAATAGCTGGTCGCACTCCACATTCCAACAACAGCAGCAACTCCTCATCTCTCTCCATTTATGATAATAATAAATGGGGAATGAACAGAACAAAGTTGGGATGAATATATTAGACTCATTCTCCTCTATCCTCTTCCTCTTCTTCTTCCTCCTCCTCCTCCTCCTCCTGCTATCCCTCTTCTCCCAATTCTCTCAATCAGAAAGAAGAAGGACTTATGGCAGTATTAAGTTGAACAAACTTCTCTTCTTTCACTGCACTTCAAGATGAAGGGAGTCAACAGCACCAGATTAATCCTTCTGCAGCCATCATCCAACCACAAGCAAGGTGGCAATGGGGTCAACACATCCATCTCCATCTCGGTCTTCCACCACCATCGTATTTGGCTCATCGCTCTCCTTTCCTTCTTCACCTTCGCCTCGCTCCTCACCCTTCTCAGCACCACCACCGCGAGAGATCCAAGTGACCTCCCCTCGGCTTCCTCCTCCTCCACCGCTGCTGTTGCGTCCGCTGGGTCGGCCTCTTACGGGAAGCCATCGCCGCTGCCGGCTCCTGTGTTCGATGCCCTCGTCAACTACGCCGTGTCCTCCAACTCCACGGGGAAGATGAGGGAGGAGGACCTCCGGGCGGTCGCGGGCGTGCTACGACGGCGGGCGCCGTGTAACCTGCTCGTGTTCGGGATCGGGCACGAGACGCCGCTGTGGCGTGCGCTCAACCACGGCGGGCGGACCGTCTTCCTGGACGAGAACGAGTACTACGTCGCCCGCGTCGAGGGGCGCAACCCGGGGCTGGAAGCCTACGACGTGGCTTACACCACCAAGGTTCGGGAGATGCCAGACCTCCTGGCCGCCGCGCGTCGGCAGCGCCGCGGGGAGTGCCGGCCGGTGCAGAACCTGCTCTTCTCTGACTGCCGCCTCGCCATCAACGACCTCCCCAACCAGCTTTACGACGTGGCCTGGGACGTCATCCTGGTGGACGGGCCCAAGGGGCACACGCCGGCGACGCCGGGCCGGATGTCGGCCATCTTCACGGCCGCCGTCATGGCCAGGTCTCGCGGCCGGGGCCACACCGACGTGCTCGTCCACGACCACGACCGGGAGGCGGAGAGGGTGTGCAGCGCGGAGTTCCTCTGCCCGGAGAACCTCGTCGCCGCCACCCCCCACCTCGCCCACTTCCTCATCCGCGCCGGCCCCGCCGACGAGTTCTGCTCCAACCGGACCTCCACGGCCGGGGACGCAATAGCCACGTCGTAGTTTGACTTCTTCCCTTCACCGCCATGATCAGGTCAACTGTCACGATAAGAACAAGAAACATAACACACATCACAACATATTACAGTCGTCGTTTCCTTCACCCTTCTCTGTAGTTTCGTAGCTGGTAATGTTTATTAGGTTACATCATCGCATGATATGATAATATGAGAGCATGAATTCTCTGATCGAGATCGACGTTGACTTGGTCGTTTCTGCTAGAATCTTTATTTTGACCAGTTGCTGCTTGAGAGAAGCATATAGATCTCATTTGACCACGTGCGGACGTGGGGCCCACCACGTGGCAATTGGCCGATAGGTGATCGCTCCATAAACTTCTCTTCGCTTTTCCTTTTTGATTACAGCTGTAAACAAGACCGAAAACAACTTTGAGACAACATAAATTGTATGCGGATGCAAACCAAATACTTTGATTTGGTATTGACATTGTTTCAATGTTATCTAAAAAAGAATGCTTACATTTTTGTAATGATAGACATTAATATAAAGGAACACCCGTTATGATGGGTGATGACAGTTTCAGATGATGTCTCCAGTTCCCTCTCTGAAGAACTTGCTCAGAATTCTGGGTACCTGTGGCTCTAACAGTTCATTAATGTGACACCTGATCTGTTCCTTCAAGCATTTACAATGGCAGTAGATATGGTATGCTTTCCATGATCTGCTAAAATTTTATATTCACATCAAACTCAGAATCAGAACTTTTGCCCATTGCTTGTTTGATTTAAAGAGAGGGAAGGGGCTGAATCCAAGTAGGTAAGTTGTCAATGTCTCTTACCAGAATCTGACAGCACCTTAAACCTTTGATGCAGAAATCATACCTGCCACATGCCTTGCAAAACACCAAAAAATGTGATGTATACAAATATGTGATGCTGCTCAAGATTTTTGAAGTGAATGATTGTGTCGGAATGATATCCTGACAATATTTATTAAAAACATAGTGGTGTGTGCCTTCTTTGTGCTCTCAGAAGTCATATGATAATATTGTGTTTAGTTCAGCAATCTGGCAAAACATTGCTTTTTGGTTAAGGAAAGTTCTTATTTCATTTTAAACCTGAATTTGTATTGGAAGTTTATCAGTCTTAAAAACCTATTCATGCAGGAATCTCCATTCATTAGTTCCAAAATTACCCCAAGAACCTCACATGGAAGGAAATAATTTCTTACTCCAAATACAGAAAAGAACAAAGACCAAAGAAGATAATATATAATGAAGTATCAATTTGATTTAAAATTTTAAAAAGAAACACAGTTACAGATAAGGGAATCCACACTTCTAAAACTTAAGATGGTTTTTCTTTCATTATCTGCCCCTAAATATTTGAAGTTTGTGTTGCAACCCTCATTTAGAGTAAAGTTCATATTATTACTGGAAACTAACAACCCTAGCTACTGTGCAAAGGGTAAACTTGCAAAATAAGGAAAGGGATGGTTAGTCTAAGAACAAGACCTTTACACATAGCAAGTAAGAACAAGCATAAACATAAAAAAGCATGAGCAAATGTAAAAAATATTGTGGCTAAATAACAATGAAATATTTAAGGATTCAAGTTATGAATATGGGCCAGAAATTTCCTTTCTTACTGGAATCTTAACGTCAATGTGCACTCCCTTAAATTTGGACAGAAGCAATTGCATAAGAAATTTATAAAGCGTTCCCAATTGTTGATCTAAGCTTCCACCAATAACTTGAGCAAGCTGGCCTACCTTCCACTATAATGAATAATAAAATATAAAGTGCAACCACAGATTGACTTTAATTATTTCTTCCTTTCATTTCTTCTTTATTCTTGGTGCAATCACCTCAAGTGGCTGTCCTTTCCTGAAGATGGAAAAGACCTTTGAACCCAAGTCACTGGATGGAGTTGGTCCAACTTATATGACTAAGTGCCCCAACCCCCAAGCTATCTCCTATACTCCCACCTGTAGGCTCTCTGAAGCTGACTTTTATTTGCATCCTCAACAGTTTGATCCTCATTTCTAGAGATGACAATGGGAAATAATATTCCAAAATCCAAACCAATTTTTCAGCATGTTTTCACTTAAGATACATTAATATTTATTTGATTTGTTGTGGATCTAGATTTACAAAAGGGATGAGTCTGATAACGAACTATGATTTGATCCAAATATTGGTCATATATCATCAGTTTGAATCCAAAAGATTATTGGATTCAGATCCTAGGTGGACCACTAGAATTTGACCAAATCTTGTTCCTACTCATTTCGACATGACAAATCTAAAGTCCTTTGTGTTATGGCATGATGCATGTGCTACTGCATATATGTCCTATAAACAATAGATACCAACATAGAGATTAAAGCCTAGGCTGAATCTTGATTCCAGTATACACTCTATACAACAGTTTAGCTCATGTATTTCCCACGTTTCATATATGCTATCCTCCTGAACCGAAAAAGATTTTACATGGTGAGGGTATTCTTTCTCTTATTAATTAGTTCCTACTTTGAAATAGATATATACTAAAAAAGAAAGAAACAGAAAAGAAATGAGAATGATGCACACAGTACATTTAAATATACTGTGTGGATAGTAAAAAATTAATGGATTTTAAAATGCTATGGCATTTTCCTTCTGCCCAGTATATTTAAATATTCACAGATAATCAAAAGTTAGGCAGTTATCATGTATTTATATTGCATAACCTCTTTGATGTGCTCTATTCTTTTGTAAACACAAAAGTCATTCATTTTTACATGCATGACATGTGCAAATTACAAAGTGTAATAAATGCCTTTGTAGATCCATATTACATCAGCAAAGATAGTGAAACAAATTGCTTTGAAAGAAAAAAAAAAGGAAGTAAATATTGTCTATACACCCCTTTGCTACTGCTGGGCAAGCTGAGATACATCAACACCATAGAAGATATTAATGGATGTTAAAGAACAAAAGGTTTAGGGTCATTGATGACAAACCTGCTAAGGTTAAGGTTAAGGTTAAGTTCACAAACCTGCTGAAACCACTCCATGCAAGGTGATGATATCAACAAAATGTTGTGGTCATTGATGACAGGTAAGAATTGCACTGCTGACAGGGGTAATTCCATCTGCATCACATCCAGTGCCATAACCTGTTTGACAAAAGCTCAAATCAAAATAGTTGGCACTTTCCAGTACAGAGCAAAAAAACATGTAGACTTCAAATTGTAGTTTCTGTATAGGCATCTAGAGATAATAACTAACTTCTGACCTAATTTCTTAGAGGTTATATGACCTTAAGTTGATCTAATTTTGAGGGAAGTACTGCTAATATATGGACAAAACCACTTGACACTGGTTTATAATGCATAACTAGACAATCAGCAGGACTGGGCCTATCAATCCTGACCTAGACCTATCAGCCCAAGCCAACTGACCAGTGTAAATTAAACCATCAGTTATATGGATCAGGTCAGATCAAGAGTTATTCGCCTGCTGGCGAGGGGAAGGGTGGATTTTGGTTGAAAGGCCTCAGACTGCTGAGTCAAGATAGACTTACTCCCATGAGCCCGATCCATATAGTAATCTAGGATACAAAGGCTTGAACCTATTGTAGTCATGGACCTAAAGAACCAATTAATTCTTGGCTCCAAGAATCCATAAAACTAGAACTAAAACACCATAAACCAGTTTATATAAACCAGTCTATATAAACCATTCACCTCTATGCAAATATATCTAGAATCCAGTTTTCTATTGCATATTGAAATTAAAAAAGAACAATGTGACATAAAAACAACAGCATTGTAATATTTTTTCTAAGAGTCTGCAACTAAAAGAAGTGACAATTCTGAAAAGAAAAAAAGAAAGAAAGAATCTGAAGACCACATTATGTGTTATAGGTAGCTTATTGTAATGGACTGAAGAAAAGGCAGTGATCAACCACTTCTACAAACAGAAAGTGAAAGAAATCCTAAAAGTATTTTAAGTGTGCAAAAAAGGCATTTGAGAATATAGACCCCTCTAGCAGTAAATCGCATTGAGAACTTATTCCAACAAATTCTACTCAGAAAGAACAATTGGATACCTGTTGCACATCTCACAAACTGTGAGGGTGAAGATAGCTGCACTCACTCGCATTGATTATGTGCCAGAGATATTGTATCTGTAGAGATCCCAAGTAAATGGGAACTCTCATCAACAACAAGCAGACATAGTTATTCTTTGCTAGCCAACTCTGTCAGCTAATGTATGATCATGTCTCCCTCCTTGCACAAAGAAAGCTCCTTCTTCATTACATCCTTCACCTGCACAAAAACGGCTGAATCAGAAAATGCCACTTCTCAAGATCTTTATAAAGGATAAACCATCCAGAGGCCACCACCGGATTATTACATGATATATTTGCATTGTTACATCATTCATATATTTTTGAGCATAAATACACTGCAACTATTTATTTCACCATGATTCTAAGAAGTATATGTTAGATAAAGGAATTTTTTATGTGTATAACAAACGTTTAGAATTGTGAGGAAGATTGACAAAAGATATTCATGGACAGTTCAGCTTGCCGATAACTTAACAGCTATCAACTAGTGAACAATGAAGCTCAGCTATTTCTTAACTCCTGAAGCTATGCTCCTTGCTAGGATCAACTCTCAACTTGTTTCTGTACTAAGATCTCAATGTGGAATGCTGTACCATTCTTTGAGACAACTGTAGAAAATGGGCCAATAAATTAGAAAATGATGATGAGACTGTACAGCACAAAGCAAACTGGTCTCCACAGTTTTTACAATGAAGTAGAAAGATTAACACATGATATTATAGTAGCCTTGAAATAAAAAATAAAAAAACAGGGTGGGGGGGAGTGTGTGGGGATACATAGCCAACTTGAAAAAGTTAAGGAATACCACAATTATGTTTGACATAGTAAAACATACAATCCAGCAGACAATGATGCAAAATATCTGCATTTTAGAAACTTAGTTCCTAGTCACTTCATATCACAAACATTAGATACTGATTTCATTCTTGACATGGAAGTCAGAACCAGGAATTAAGGCAAATATGTTTGCTAGACTTCCAGAAGTTTGCTATAGAAATTTATCATGTTCATCGAATGTCCTAAATATTATCTTGTTGATTCTCCATCAAAGAGTCATGAATCGTGTGTCTCAATGGATCGAGCTCCACAAGAAGAAAATAACATTCAATTTATTTCACCGACAATATGGTCAAAGAATACCAAGAAATATAACCGAACGCAAAGTTTTCGAGATGTGATCCAACGATTACGGCGAAGATGAGGCTTTTCCCGATGTTTCCGGCAGGCGTATTGCTACCACTTGAGCCGACGGGCCCTTGGACAAGATGCCGGGGCGGAGAAGTGTGGCGCAGGCGAAGAACAGGGAGGCGAGGCTCTGGACGAGACTGTGGGCACGATGCCGGAAAGAAGCGGAGTCAGGGGCCCGGGCAAGGTCGATGCTCCACAGGGGCGTCGCCTGCACCTGGAACGGGTCGGGCGGAGTCTGGGCCATTTCGAGCCGGGCTTCATCTCGGACATTTAGCCCGGCCCATGAACAGGTCTTGCATCCAGAAAAATCTCAAGATTAATTCAGGCAAATAATATGATTTTGGTATAAATATGTATTACATCAAAATAAATATTCTCTATCACAAAAATTATATACAAATTACTCAGCTTATACTCTTCCCATAAAATATTAACTATAGAATTGTTAGCTAATTGGCAATCATATGACTAATCTTAATGGCAATAAAACGACTAAAGTTGATGTCCATTTATTCCTATATTGAAAGTGAAAACAAAACCTGAATTGATTTATAAAACTTAACATTCTTGTTGTTGGTGAACATATGCATCGTGGCTGATGAGTCAGTACGATTTGGTTCACGGGTCGATGTCGGGAGTCTCAGGTCGGTTGAGCTAGTTGCCGAGGTCGATCGGGCCTTTGCGACGAGTGTCGACGTCGTGATGTTGAACAGCGTCTCTCAGTCTCCAAGCTGGTTAGCGGCTCACCTTCGTACACTGGATAGCAACTCTCAGGTCGGAATGCTCGTGGCTCGAGGGTGTCCGTTTTCCTGTAAGAATGGCCTTCGTCGGGTGATTCCCGACTTTGGCCCCTCCGACGAGCAAGTTAGTTGTGGGTTAAATTGTTTTTGCCTCTCTCTCCTCCTCTGGTCGGATGCCGACTGGGGACTTTTATACTACTGTACGAGGGTCGATCGTATGCGGGTTTGACATGACGGTCGATCCTCGAGGGATGAGATGACACTTTAGTACAATCGCTATCCCAGGACACGTGAAACAATGCCAGACGGTACCGTCCCGAGCTTCCGAGATGGAACGTACTGAGCAACACCTTTGGTACGAATTCTGGCTCAACACATGGGGTAACTCATCTTGGTGACTTGGCTGTAGCGTGACGTGACATCGATCGTGACGTGGCCTACAACCAAAATATACCTTATCACTTTATGATTGGCATTAGATGTTTATCTTGTAATCAAAATACTAAATAACTCTTTGACATGATTTACTTGGTTGCTTGAAGTCCTCAATTTTGAGAATGCTTTTCATGCATGTATTGTATATCCACATGCTAAATTAGTTGGCCTCCATAATATACAATATATTAACAAGCATGCATTGGTTGCATGATGTGTTTGAACTATATTTCTCTTTGAGACTAACAAAGGCCACTTGGACTTGACCACCTGCCTTTCTGTCCACCATTAGTTTGGCTATCAGTTGCCAGATCGGTGCTGATGCAAAGTTTTAGTAGCAGATAGAGTTGGACCAAGTCTTGCCTCATCTGCCACCTCCGATTCAAAGAAGTATTTTGTTTCGGCAGCAATTTTTGTCTCCCAGAAGACGTAGATTTTGACATGGATGATGATCATCATCATCCAACTGGTCAATGCTGTGATCACAAGCTAGCTCACCAAACATATATTTCGTGTGGAATAATACCCGAAGAATAATGGTATATAAAATGGTTTTAATACGTGTATATGCTTGGCTCAAATTAGGATCATATGCGATGAAAAGAGTAGCTTTGGTTCATTATCATTATTATTGTTTAATATATGTAAATTTGGTTCAATTGCATATTTTTTTGAACACATATTTCAAAGAAAAAGAAAATAATGTTGGATTTCGATGGAAAGACACGGGCGAAGACGTGACTCGGATTGCCTTCCCATGAAGTGTCGTGGGACCCGCACTCGCGTGATCTTTTCCCCACGGATCGGGGGTTTGACTCGGACTCCACCGCCCTCTCTCAACTCCACCTCTGGAATCCTCTCGCGTCCGCGCACTCTATTTAGAGCCCCGGGAGTCGTGGCACGCAGAATACAACTCACGTACATCGAAGCAGATACGAAGGGGATGTGGAAGAGGCGAGAAGAAGAGGCAGGGATGGGGGGCTGGGCGATTGCCGTGCATGGGGGAGCTGGTGTGGACCCCAAATTGCCGGAGGAACGGCAGGAGGAGGCGCGGCGGGTGCTGAGACGCTGCCTTGGTGTGGGCGCCGCCGGCCTCCGAGCCGGCCTCCCCGCCGTGGACGTGGTGGAGATGGTGGTCCGGGAGCTGGAGACCGACCCGGTGTTTAACTCCGGTCGCGGGTCCGCTCTGACTCAGGAGGGCACCGTGGAGATGGAGGCCAGCATCATGGACGGCCGGGGACGCCGCTGCGGTTCCGTCTCCGGCCTCACCACCGTCAAGAACCCCGTCTCCCTCGCTCGCCTCGTCATGGACAGGTCTCCCCACTCCTACCTCGCTTTCCACGGCGCCGAGGATTTCGCCCGCGAACAGGTCCTCTCTCTCTCTCTCTCTCTCTCTCTCTCTCTCTCTCTCTCTCTTCCGCTCCTGATGCAATGCTAGTCCCGTTGCAGGAGGTTGAAGTGGTGGACAATAGCTACTTCATCACTGATGAGAATGTGCGTATGCTGAAGCTGGCAAAGGAAGCAAACAGAATCGTGGTATGTGAAGTAGATGCTGTTTGATTGCAATCCCCGTTCATATATCATGTGCACTCATGTAGATGTTTCGGAGCAGTACGATTACAGAGTTCCAGTCCCGAGCGCGGACACCTGCAGCGCCAGCGCTGGCCTGGTGGGCGCAACGACAGATGGCGGCCTGCAGATGAACGGCCTCCCGATCAGCATCTACGCGCCGGAGACCGTCGGATGCGTGGCGGTCGACAGCGGTGGGTGGTGCGCCGCCGCGACGTCCACCGGAGGGCTCATGAACAAGATGAGTGGCCGCATCGGGGACTCGCCCTTGATCGGCTCCGGCACCTACGCCTGCGGAGCCTGCGCCGTGTCGTGCACCGGCGAGGGCGAGGCCATCATCCGAAGCACCCTAGCGAGAGATGTGGCAGCGCTGATGGAGTACAAGGGGCTCGGCCTCCAGGAGGCGGTGGACTACGCTCTCAAAGAAAGGCTGGACGAGGGCAAGGCCGGGCTCATCGCCGTGTCGAGGAATGGTGAGGTGGCCTATGGATTCAATACCGTGGGTATGTTTAGAGGATGTGCAACGGAGGATGGGTTTATGGATGTGGCCATATGGTAGGCGTCATACTCTTTCTCTTCGTGGCCTATGAATTTATAGCGAATGTATTGTATAAATCTTCATTCTATATATACTGTGGCTTTCTATGAGCTTCAAATTGTTGTTGTTTATAGAAGTGGAAGAGGAATAAGTTAAGCTTGTAGTAATGAGATATATGAGACCTCCAACTGCTCAACAATAGAGAATCCAATGAGGGCAGGATCTCAACTGTGCTTAGCGACATGAGGGTAGATTGTACTTAATGATGAAGATTCGGATCTCGATTGTGCGGAGGATCCATATCTTCGCTATGCTTAGCAATGGAGGGTTGTGCTCAGCGATGGAAGACTGCTCAATGACGAAGGATACGAATCTAGGCTGTGCTCAGCGACGGAGGGTTGTGATCATCCACAGAGCTGGAGGGCAACTGGGGCTCCATGAAGAGGAGCGAGATGCTGCACCACGGCCACCACAACAATCTTGTTGGAGATGGGGCCATTGTCGTACACTTTGCACTCCTCAAGGAGGTGGGAGAAGACATCATACGAGCGCCCAACTTTGTCGCTACCATCATTGTGTCCTCGCCTCCATCCCTCGTTTGTTGCTGACGGACGATCTCTTGAGAGGGCCTCCGTCATTTGCCGCGCTCCTGCCTCGACCGTCGAGTTTAGTCCGGAGAGACCACTGCCTCGACCGTCGGGAGACGAAGGCAACGAGAAAGGGGCGATGGTTTTCGTCAAAGATGAAGGGGGCTAATAACAAACAGTAAAGAACGCTACGAACGAAAAATAACACTTGAGCATCAGCATCAGCAAAAGTGCCCTGGAGACAAGATCCATGCTTTAGATTACTAGAAAAACTTAAGATTCTTCCTCGGATGTTACAGATTTCACTACAGAACACTCCAAGCGAAGCAGCGACATCTAAAGATTCAAGCTTTGAGAGGGTAAACTCTAACTTGATCCAACAGAGGCCCGCAAAGGGAACCCGGATTACTAACACTAGTGTGGTAGTATGAACTGTAAAACGTGATCCGTGTCCTGCTCCCGGTTGCCGTAAAGTTCAAGCTTGCAGCTTTGAATCCACCCTTTCCCTGCGACTGGAATGACACCTTCGCTGTCCCATTGCCGGCAAAGGCTTCCACCAGCATCGATCCATGGCAACCGTTCTTGGCATCGCCTACCACGAAGCTCAGGTTGTAGGTGGTGTTACTGGCGGTCCTGATAACTTGGGCGATCGCGCTTTCTCTTCCGGCCACAAGCTCGATGGCGAACTGGCCGGACGGGATGGCGTAATGTGCGGCGTCGATAAACCTGACGGCCTTAAGGGATTCGATGATCCAGCCAGGGAGGGGAGATGTGCTGTCTTCCTGCTTGGGGGGGAGGAGGACGCCGGTCGTGGAATTCTTGAACACATGAGGGCCCTCTTCAAAGCCACCATTCTTGACTAAGTTGTCTGCAGTTGAAGAACAGTGCAGCAAGAGGTGATTGGGATTGTTGGATACATATCACAATCTCAGGTGAACGACAGTTGAACAAAAACAGCAGCATGAAGGGTTCTCCTCCTTCATTAGATCCGCCATTTTTGCATGCAAATCCACTGATCTCACATACATTAATGGCTAACCTTACCATGTGTCGGCATGGGAGGAAAGAGCTCCTTGATGGCCACAGCGTCCAAGAGCGGCCCGCACGCCGGATCTTCCTGAACCCCCGTGTTGTGGAAGATCACCTGCACCGTCTTGTTACCGGGCCTGAATCCCCAGGCGTAGGTGTCACCACCGGTGCTGCTGTAAAGAGTCTGAATGGGGAGGTCGCCTGAGAGCGGCGGCACCGAGACCCTCAGCACCTCGTCCTGCGCGCACGTTCTGGTGGCGCTGAAGGTGAGCGCGTAGAGGGATCCCGGCTTAACGGTGATGTTCTGGGAAATGGAGGCGTCGTTGCCGAGCCGCACGGCGTGGACGCCGTGAGGCACCGCGAAGAACATGCCACCGGGCTGCGGCCCGCCGGAAACGTACTGCACCAGGCCGTGGATGGTCCAGTGTGGGAGGGAGTGCTTTCCCTGGATGACCGTCTTGTTGAGCTTGTCCTGCCTTGGGCTGATCTCGAAGTTGCCGTTGGCAAGGAACCCTGCAACAGATCAACGGAGACAAGCTTGAATATCTACAAACTTAAAGAAGGAGATGTTGCTAAGGTCATTACCATCAAGTTCTAGAGACCCGAGAACACCGATGCAGAAGGAGAGAAGCAGGAGAAGCTGCAGGGAACCCATTTCCCTCCTCAGTAAAGCTGAGACAGTGCTACAGGTACTGTGAGAGCTATATTTATCTCAGAAGCCTGCGTTCAGATATCCCTCAAGCACAAAGCTAAAGCCCACCTACACGACTACTCCCTCATGCCTTGTCATCCGAGCCCATACCTTTCCTTGCGTTGTATGCTTGATCCGGAGGTACATGTCAACTGCGTCATTGATTCACCCTACTCTGTTGCAGTAAAAAGGAAGCAGAGGGTTGCAGAAATCACGTTGGCGATGGCAGAAGCGTGTCGGATTTCTGCAGAGTTCATCGAGACCTGCCTTCTTAAAAGGATGGCAGAAATATATATATAGTTGGATACAATTCATGTGGTTGCAAGTGGCTCACACACATCGGTTACATCAAAAGCTCACAAGAAAATAAGGCTCTGTCAGAGTCAGACGACAGAGACCCGTACATCTGCTATGGACATAGGGATGTACATGACTTGGCTTATTTAACTCCAAGATTAGCAGCAAAGAACATGAACAAACAAATGGTGGAAACATGTTCTGTGCGACAATTCCGCTCTCCAGTCTCACCACACAATCTTGGAAAGGAAGACAAGATTATGGATACTTGATCAGGTATTGAAGTTGGTACTTTGGGCACTATCTTGGAAGCCTCGGGGCTTTTAGGAAGCTGCAGGTTGCTATAAGTGATCTGAAACAAGCAGATTCCATGCAATGCACATGAAACATCAAATAATCTGAATCTCTACGCTAACAAGCTCTTCTACAGACTAAAATCAAGCTGTCATCTTCTACGGACTCTCTGACTCTATTTCTTACAGTGTACTGATCCCAGCGGATAAGGTTGTGAAGGGCATCGAGGGATTCCTCTTTCATCACGTCAGATTGAATCGGATGGGACTAAGAAAACCCAACGAAAAAGAAATCAGCTTCATGCGGAAGACGAGAACAGCCGAGAGGGAATAGTTTAAGTCTGCCTCCCTCGCCGCCGACGATGGCGATGCTGCAGAGCAGCTGGGCGTGGAGTCGCCGCCAGTGCCTCGGCAAGCAGGAACAGGCGCACGTGGTGGCGGTGGCAGGCCACCGACTTGACTGCGGTCAATGCAGTCCTTGAGATTCATGTAGGCATCCTATTGGCGTCATCAAGCTTCGTGCACGGTCGTTGATCAAAGAACCTTTTGTCTCTGCCGTCCATAACGATCAAAAGATCGATCGTGGTAATGAGAATGTCTCCTACAATCCACTTAACAATCTTATGGTTTTAGATATTGTCAAAATTATTATTATATTTGCTTAAAGGAATAAAAGAGAGAGAGCAGATCCGATCCGATCCATTTGGTATTGGCGGATCTGCTTAGGCTAGGCCTTCGTGCCCGTATAATCGCATTTCGACCCGACCCATATTTTTACTCTTACGTGGATCCGGTGACCTGAATTCGATGTCAACACTGTTCTTATCACGCGTACCTCCCAAGTAAAAGAATCCAATTGGGCCACGTTTGGTCTTGAAAACCCATTCTCTAAGGCAATAACTTCTCACACCTGATTATTTGTTGCTCGATAAATTACCCTCAGTTTCAAGTAGTGATATTGACAAATTATGTGGTCCCACCTAGCGGGGTCAGAAATGAATTCCAATGACATGGCTGGTATGATGTGTAGTTGAAAGTAAATATCCGAACAAATAATAAGAGTAGGAGCGGAGGCAGAGCAACCGCAATTGCTTCTCCTCGGCATGGAGAAAACGGGAGATCCCGCGGCTCCGCTCCTTCCGCCTCATTATCCGCCGCCGACGGAGCCGTGTTACGGCGTCCCAGCCGCAGCAGCTGCCCTCCAGGAACCCTACTTCCCGGAACCCCCGGCCTACGTGCTTCTCCCCTTCTACCCCCGCCGCCACCGCCGCCACGGACGCTGCCACTGTTGCGGCTCCCTCTTTTCATCCTCCGCTCTCCTCTCATCGGCCTTCCTCCTCGTCATCCTATGTTCCGCCGCCTTCTTCCTCTGGCCCTCCGACCCCCAGCTAACCGTCGCCCGCCTCCGGTTCGACGACCTCCGCGTCACCCCGCCCCCCTTCGCTACCATTGACGTCGTCCTTAGCGTCGACCTCATGGTCCGTAACCCGGACTTTTTCTCTCTCGACTACCGCTCCATCGTGGTCTCGATCGGGTACCGCGGGAGGCCGCTCGGCTCCGTCACGGCTGACGGCGGCCACGTTAGGGCGCGGGGAGTCTCGCACGTCCACACCAAGCTCGATCTCGATGGGATCCTCGTGTTGAATGATGCCATCTATCTGATCGAGGATCTCTTTAGGGGATCACTGCCTTTGGACACCGTCACCGAGGTGCAGGGTCGGATGCGGCTGTTCTTCTTCGACGTCCCCGTTCAGGTACAATTTACGAACGCTTCCTATTGTTCATTAATGTCTCAGCTGCTCCTTGACTTGGTTGCATCTTTTGTTTTATCTTCTCCCATCGATGAATTTGATGTGCCAAAATGATCCTTTGACATCTGATTTTTGTTGTAGGTTTGTAGGATAGGAATTTGATCTAATGAGGATTTTTATTATCTTGATGGATACATGTAGTAATCTGAAAAAAAGTTGTAGCTTTCTTAATCCGAAAAAGAATTGTATCTAATTAAATGCTTCAAGAAGCATTTCCCTGACTGTTGTGTGATTTATACTGGTAATCTGTAGATACTTCTCAAAAAGCATTGCATACTTCATGTCACTATTGCCTTGTGTTAAGACTTCTAAGATATAGATTTGGAACGTTTATTTTAATAGAGTGTGCGAACCTATTATTACTGATTAAAATGGATGATTGACTTAACATTGTTTGCTCATACAAATCATGTCGAGAAGCCTCTCCAGTGTTGCGATGTGATTGAATATGTTCTTTTGCTCCTTCTCAACCATAAGGGTCATGTGAGGACTAAAAGATAGTCTAGGATTAGAATTATTAAAAGGTGAACTCGAAGCAGTCGTGGATAACATGTGCTATTATAATATTTAGGCAGCAGGGATGATCTGTCACTTAGAGGTGATCATGGAAAAGATGAAAGGAATTGTTGCCCTGCGCAGAACTTGGAAACAGCAGGTTTCTCTGTTGTCCTAGATGCAGGAATTGGGGTCTCAAGGACCAGATTAGTGGCTCAATGAGAACTGCATGTTATTTCATATCATCAGGACTAAGAACACCGGTTAGGGTGTAGTTGGAAGGGATTATTGCTGGATACTAAGTACAAAGTATGATTTTGATCAAATTAGATGTTTAGATTTAGAGTTCATGCTATAGTTAAACTATCAAGTACAGAACACAAGAAGAAGAAACTAAATCTGGAATACAAATACAAAAGATGGATACCTAGAGACAACTCGATTACTGCAAACTACTCCGGTTTATGGTAATTGTTCTTCCAGCAGACCTCACACCAATAGTTCTACTGATGGCCTTGGTACAGTATAATAGAAAATTTTCAGGCTTCTTATTACAAAAACCTTGAAAACATTGTGTATATGTGATTTTTTTTAGTTTTTTTACATCTAGTTCTAGGAAATTTTAGCCTTAGCCTTTACCCAAAAATTTAGTGGTTGATGGCTAAGATTTTGTACATGACAGCTCATAAAAGGATGAAATATAATGTTCATCCTTTACTAGTATTTCTAGGCTGATTAATTCTCATAAATGAAGCATCCTTAGAAACTGCATGAATGCAGTAGAGGCTTGCCAAGCAACTTGCTTATGATTTCTTGATATATGTAATAACTGAGGCATCTGACTTAAAGTATTCATTGCAATCAGGAAGTCTTGAAAATATTTGCATGTTGGTGCTTTCTTTTTAAGTAGATAAAGGAAAGATTTCTTCATGTGATGTCAGAAGTTTAAAATCCAGCAGTTCAAGCTAATAGGCATAAAATATCCAAGCTAATAGTTTCAGGTTGTTATGTCCAATCTATTATTGTATAAAATATCCAAAGATAACTGTCCTCATGAGCAACAAGATAAAAAGGTGGCCTTCCCATGCAGATGGTTGGGTTACTACATAAGAGAGATGTTTTCTGCAGCTACTTCTGAGCTTAAAATGATATATAATTGAGTGCAAATACAGAAATATGCAAATGCAACCAAGTGATATGAGAATTCATGGTAGGGCACATGGAATAGTGATGTAAGAGAGGGAAAGGAAAAAACGCAAGGGTAAAGGAGGAGGGAAATGGCATGCCGAAACATGACACCTAACTTGACCATCAAGGATATCGTGTTCCAAAATGACCCCTTTCTTTCCGAATAATGCAAGTATCCAGTTATTCTAAAAGGAAGAAAATTAAAAAAAAGCATCACACATATCCCTGCATGTATGTATTCATTAGGTTGAGAGAGGTGGAGGTTGAGGGATCAAGTTTGATAGCAATTCGGCGTGAGAGAAAAAAGTCAGTTTAGATCAACTTTTGGAGAGATTGGTCTGGCCTGAGTTTGATAAGTTGCGGATACAATGGGGGCATTTTGCAAATTGGGTTACCTAACCCATATCATTTACCTGTTATTGGCTGAGCTCCAGTAATGGTGGCTGAGGGATGAAGGTATTTAGAGTTGTTTCATCCCTACAGGGATATACATGATATTTTGAAGTTAAAAGGGATAAATATGATATTTTGCTGTTTTGCAGTGATATTTAGTAAGATATTCCCAGAGTTGTCAACCTTTAGGTTGTTTTTTTTTTTTTTGTAAATATTCATTAGGTATATTCTGGCCTTCGTCTTCCTTGCTAACAAATATTCTCAGCCAGTCAAATTATGTAAGGATACATAAAAAGTTAGCTAGAGTCATGCCAAATAGTAATGAACAACAATCTTCACATAGTTTCTTTTCTTCGTTAAAGTAAGATTTAATTGTTTTCTTGTCTATTCATTCTTTAGTACTTTTTGTCTAATCTGAGCATCAATTACCCACTTATCTCTACATTTTCTCAGGGAAATATTTCGTGTGCATTGAATGTCAATCTAGAAAACCAGGAAGTCATTCGTCAAGACTGCTACTCTGAGGTAAGTTCTTGTCAAGTATGATTAAGTTATCTTATTGTTTTCATGTCTTCGCCTACCATAGGCTTCTGATGTTACATCCTTTCAATTATTCGGTTGTTCAGTGATATCTGATACTTGAAGTGGAGGATTCAGGTGGATGGTTCAGAAGAATTTGTTTCCTTGTCATGTAAAGATTTTCTGCATGCGTCATAATGTATATGAAGTAAAACAAAACATGTATGTGAGATATGAATATTTGTCCAGAAAACATATAAAGAAAAGCGTTGTAAATAAATGGTGCATTTGGCTCTTGTGACTGGTGATTATCTAATGTTGAACTCAGAATTCCTAGCTGAGTGTGTCTTTGTCTTGTGCCGATTGTGACTCTGATACTATTTTCTGGAGGTTGCCCTCTTTGGTAGTTGATTCCATGGCAAGGATGGACTCAGTTCACTAAAACAGAGCATCACCTACCTCAGTGTATGCTGGCCAAAACAAGGACTGAGAAAGTTGATCTTATGTCTCCTCTTCATTCTTGGCTGTGAAATCACTTGTTTTGAATGGCAGTGCTCCGAGGCCATGATTTTGGTCATCATGTTGGACTGAGGCAGGAGGAGGATATTGCTGCTCGAGGCCTGTGTTCAGAAGCTGCTCTCACAGGTAAGCTGAACTCTCAAGTTCATCAATGATCACTACATGAAGCTTATATATTTTGACAATTGCAGGTTGCACTGGATATCCTTCTACAAGTATCTCAAATTCAACGACTTCCTTTACCAGGTAGTGGCCATGGGGGTTGAGCTAGGTCTTTCCGGGTAACCTCTTCTCCATTTTCTCTTTGCCTCCTCTCCCTCCTGGTATGCATGAAAATGGCACACACCGTTGTTCTCACTTTGCTTCATGCCCCAACATATTAAAGATTTGGTAATGAAGATTCTGTAGCTTCAGTTTGTTCCTGTATTTGATATGCATCTGTTCTTAATGTGTGAATATCCTTCTTCTTGTTTTGATATGAAATGGGAGATTGCTTGTTTGCCTAGCAATAATAGCTGGAACTTTAGTTGGATTATGTATATTACAACATTCTCAGTCAAGGATTGATATGCATAATATGTTCCACCAAACTGAAGCCACTGGCACATGGTACAATCACATGAATATCAATCGCCAGATTGATATTGCTCTACTGACACTATGGAAAAGCATTATTCATATACTTCACTCCCAACAACTAAAATCACTGAAGTCAACTTCACTAATGAGTTAGCATACTCAATTTGAAAATTTTCTCGTCTCTACATCATTCCTTCAATTCTCCAATCAACATGAAGTTATTAGGATTCAGTCACATCTCATCTTACATTTATGGATGTTGGTTATGAGGTTGAGATAGAAGGAAAGATGGTGATGCTATAAACGAAGGGAATACTGGATCATGCCAATTGATAGAGAATCATAGCTCCTGTTAATCCTATGGCTCTGCATGTCACATTTACTTATATTTACTTTAATAGAAGTATTTGCAGGAGCATGTTAGAACTTATCACATTTATCTTAGCATGATATATTTCCTATTTTGTGTTTAGCTGTGGTTAATTTATCATTCTTCATAAGCTTTAATACTGTAAAATGTTTCACATAACTAGTCAATTGACCATAGAGTATGTGTAGTTATAGCATAAGAATTCTCACGGTATCTGTTCTATGCAACTCTGATTCTATCAGCTAAACAAAAGTGAAACACATGAGAGTGCATAGGAAAAGAAAGCTGCTTTTGCCCTTCTACTGGAAAGATTCACATGTCGAGCACTGGCTCTGCAAGTTTGTGAGTTCAAAGTGGAGCTGGTCCAAATGCAATTGTGCAATGACAAAAGGAAAAGAGAAAGCAGACAGTCGAAACAAGAGCATGCTGAGCATCTATCTCCTCTTCAAGATCCTTCTTGATACTTGCATCACACAGAAATGCCAAAAATGATACTTGAATGTGGCAGTGGAAATGTCTAGAAATGATTTGATCTGGGAGGTGGGTCAAAACCTGATTTGGCATGGCACTACAAGGCTCTTCTGCAAATCTCTCTGTACCACCAGAGAATGTGAAGGTTGGATGAGAGACAATAATGCAGTTTGTAGATGGCTGGCTTCTGCATCACCAGCACAGTTATCTGCACTGGTCCACCAGTATCCTGAGCAGTTTCTTGTATGAGTTGCATAATTTTCTTTGAGAATTCACCCTCATGTCTTGTTAGTTTTTATTGGTGAATAAATGATAAGAAATTATGTAAAATATCAATCAGATTCACCAATTGGTTCAATTTGCACAAGTCATTCTCAGCACATCATGACTGACAAAGATTTAGGAATCAGTAGCATATATCACAGTATCAACAAGCATGCCCAAGATGAATTGCAGAGAAGAAAACATGACATGTAGATACATTTCTACTTGCTCAACTAGGCAAGAACCAAAAAGATGTAGATTTTCATGAAAATATTGCAGGGACCAGATGATAAATAGATGACATATATTCAACAAAATTCTGACTATCCACCACCAATTTGAGATACCATGCAAATCAGAAATAAAAAGTCTAATTACTAAGACTGTTCTTCATGGCCATCTTCATTACTGATTCATAATTCTAATTGACCATCACCAACAATTGAAATCTTGGGTTGATATGCAAATAACAGTTCTCATTCCTACTAATCAGATGCCATGCATATCGTTTATTGTCGAAACAATCGTATCTTATTTCTTCTGATAACTCAACTAATAATGCCAAACAAGGCCACCATATATAGCCGCGCATGAAAACACAGCAAGAAGAAGAGCAATGCCCCCAGGAACAGCTCTTGTACCAGTACTAGCTCCAGGGGCAGCTCCCGGGGTGGAGACACCTCCACCAGCACCACCAGCACCACCACCACCACCGGAAGAGGGGGGAGTAGCAGGAGAGATGGAAGGAGGCGAGGGAGAGGGGGAGGTCGCAGGGGCAGCACAGGAGGAGACTTTGATGTCCACCTTCTGGCCAGCAGTGCAGTGCCCAGGGATGCCACAGAGGAAGTAGTGGTGACCTTTGGTCTTGAGGGTGATGGAGTCATTGCCGGTGGCATAGGTGGCAATAGGAGATTTTTCACCGCAGCAATCGTAGTCATGTTTTTTCACCTCAACCACATTATGATACTCCTTATTGTACTCGAACACTGCCAACACACATGAGAAGATTGAGTTACTGAGAGGTAATGGAAGATCTAAAACCAGTTAAGCATGAAGTGGAAACAGTGTAATCCTTCCTTGTCCAACAATCAACACATCACTTTAGTCTGCATGAGAAAACCTCAAAGAATTTTATCTGCATTCAAGCATCTTTTGTGATCAGGAAGAACTCTTTCTATATGTAGAAGAAGATGCCAAGTTCAATTCAAGATATCCATGTAAAGAACAAAGGAAAACAGAAAGAATATGTTATAGTTGGCAATATTCAATTCACAGAGAAAATAAGGGAAGACCATTAACTGGTGCACTACACATTCTACAGTCTTTATCTCAGAGCTTGTGATCTATCTGCACTTAATTATCTATGACTACTTCACATTCTTCATTTGACTCCATTCCTTACTAGTCCTTATAAAAGATCAGGAATAATTCTTTCAAATATTTTGAAAAAGCTAAGCTAAACTACACCAAAGATTGGGAACCCAAGAAACAACAAACATACAAGGAAAAAAATCAGGTAAAAGAAATAAGAATAACAAAAAAGTTCAGAAAACTGTCATACAATGAAGGAAGAAAGAACCAAGAGAAGGGTAATCAGAGGAACAGAGTCATATTGCTATTTTAAAGAAATTTATTTTTTTGTCTCTAAATTTTTTTTTCTGATTAATTTTAGAAATATAGTGTATGACAATAAGGAGTGTTGATGAGTTAGTACTGAGAAATCGATTTCTATTATTGATGTGTTAATACTTCTAAGACTGAGAAAACAACAAACACAAACATTGTCAAACTCAAGCTTGAGTTATAAGCCGCACCAAAACTGAACAGAAAGATAAAAATACATATAGAAGAAGGAGAGAAGGAAAAGAAAAAAGTTTGTCCCACGAAGGAAGTCTTCCATAGTTGAAAGTTGCAACTTTTCCAAGAAAACGCCAAATCAAAACTACACCAAAGTCAACAAAGCTCACAAAAAAGAACAAAAAAGGGAAATCTTGGTTTGGAAAACAGAGGAATAGAGTAAGAAAAAGGAGAAGTCTTGCGACCTGTCACACGATCTTCTTTAGGGGGAAGGAAGACGAAGAAGACTCACCAATGGTGTCTCCTACTTGGAAGTTCTTGGACAAGGCCCAGGCGGTGTAGTTTGGGTTCCCCAAGAGGGTCCATCCTGCAGAATCTCCCACCTTGTACACCGCACTCTCCGACAACCCCACGCTGGCAGCGAGCAGGAACACCACCACCAACGCCATTGCCGTTGCCATTCCCTTCTCTCTTTGGTGAGGGAAGAGAACAAGACACAGAGATGGCTTCTCTCCTCGGTTACTCCTTTGGTAATTAGTGGTGGCTCGTCGTTATATAAAGCTTCATATGCAAAGACCCTTTTTGGCTTTCCATGTGGTCTTACTATTTATAAATATAATTATGTAAAATATCATAAATGTAATTATGTAAAGCAATAAATGCAGAGATGGCCAAATCTTTTGTGCCATTAATGACCACCAAACTTTTCATATTTATTCCTCTAAATTTTAGTTTACCATACATATATCCCTTCAAATCTTGAAAATATATCAACACAGAATATATATATATATATATATATATATATATATATATATATATATATATATATTCTTTAAGAAAATTAAATATTTTCTAGATATTTTAATATTTATTTTTAAATTTAAAACAACATTGATTATCCACAATTATTAGTAGTTGAGCTAAATTCTCTTGAAAAACTTTTTATATTTAGAGCAGATGTGCCATTTTCAAACATTGCAAATATGGATAGAAATTCTTATATATGATGGTATGTATTTAGTGTTACAATTTATTATTTACAGAATGTAGTTCTCTTCTCCTGCTAGACTTGGAAATTTTGATCTGAATGGAAGGATTTCAAATCAAAATATAGTTTGAGAAACAATCTACCCTTTTTTGACTTCTTGATGTTGTGGAAAACAAAAGGGTTCAGCTTTGTTTGACTACCAGTGAGGTGTTCTTCTTCTTCTCAGTGGCCTTCCTGCCACAAAAAAAGCAGTGAGTCAACTTAGTTTAAGGATATAGATTTGAGAAGGAGAGGAGTGAGGAAGACCACAGAAGTCAGAACTGGTCATCTTCCAGTTTCTTCCTGAATTCAGTTCAAAACCTATCAATCAAAGATGGAAAGTGGTCTGAATAAACAACAATCCTTTGAGTAATGACAGCAGTGGCATGGAATTATCCTTCCAAGAAAGTCTTTTTCCTAATTTAATATGTGCTTCTGTTTCTAGTAAGAGTCCAGTGGTGCAGACTGTTTACAAGTCACACCCAGCAAATGTTTCTGACAGCATATTAGAGACCCCAACCACATATTAATGCTTTAATTCTTCTGGGTGTGTCATTTTGGCACTTGGATTCAGTCTGGACCTGCTTTTATCCTTTATTTGATGCTAATTCCTGGCCATTTGGTCCAGTTTTGGCTTTCACTGTTAGGTTCATCTGATTAAAGGCAAATCCCAATTCCTGGATTTTTAGCATAATAGTCACATTTTCATTATATGAGACACAGACACTGTCATTACCAAGGATAAGATTACAAATACATTTTAGTTTAAAGATTATTTCCATCACAATGAAACTTTCAATAATATATGTTTTCCCATTCATAAATGCTTGATGGAAAACCTTCCTAGAACTGTTCATAAATATATGGAGATCCCTGCTTTATCTATATATGAACAGGGTAATGAGGTTGAAGAAACATAGATGGATCCAGCTAAAGTTTGGACTACATTTAGTTCTCTGATCTCTTTTGATTTGATCTTTCTTGGAATATATTTGTATTAGATGTCCCTTTATGGTTTTTTTGGATCATTTCATGCTTATATCTTCTATATTGATTTCTCATCAACTCAGTGCCTTATTTTCTTAAAAGAAAATAATAATTTTGATTCAGTGTATAATGGTAAGATTAAAACATAGGAAAATTTTCATGCATAATTCAGGTTGTCAAATAATGAGGAAAATTTGACAAGAAGCATAAAATCTGTTGTAATCTAATCTTTGATTCTTCAGTCCTCCCAGTACTCTCCTGCAACATCTGAAGTGTACTCAAACTATAAAGCACTTCCAGCATAGAGTACAGCAAGAAGTGAAAGGAGACAGAAACTGCTACTGGTCTACATGAAAATTATGCCTGTACTTTTGTCTGCTATCATGTGATGAATCAGTAGTTGCATGGAAACAAAGATTACACAATGGAAAGAAGCATCAAGAATGCTAACTCTTCTACAAATGGACACCAAACTATGTACTATGAGTTGGTCTGAGATGTAAACTGATAGAAGATAACCACAAGTTCTTCCTTTATGCAAAAACAAAAAGAATTCAACTAGTCATCATTTCTAATTTAGATGCTTTCTCATTAGCTTTGGCTCACTTCCTAGTTATTTGAAATCAGAAGCAATCAAGGCTAACATATATGAACATCAATACAGTGGTTTCAGTCAAGTAACGTGATATGATGCTTAATGTTATGATTCAGATCTAATACGTAATGTCAACATAGTTTGCTTAATCAGAATACTTAAGTTTAAGTTGATAATTATATACCTATCAAATTTTTATTAGATAATTCAACTAGTGAAAAGCTTGTTATCAAACTCTAACATAGTACATGTGGGTATAGCCTAATGGTGAGGTGGTTCCATATCATGATGAGTTTTTTAACTCTATCCACAGGTACTCTTTTTTACTCGAGCCTCCTCACCGTGCTATAATACTACTACTCGAGCCCTCTCACCATACCGTAATACTATGTCAGCTCTGGTACCAAATATCTTAACTCGATGAGCCTCCTTATCATATCATAATACTAGGTCGGCATTGATACCAAATGTTATGACACAACTTGATGGGATAATTGGCTTGTCAACTTTGTTTAGGCCAAACCACTAGCCAAAATGCTTAAATTAAGGTTGATATTAGTATGACAATCGGACTCTTATAAGTCAATCTTAGTCATACCCAGTTTCGATAGAAGACCATTCGAGGTATTACAAACTCTCCCATTTAAAGGTTTAACGTTCTCATTAAGACTTAGCATAATCTAGATTGAACTCTAGCATGGTACAATTGAGGTGTAACCTAGTGGTGACTCATCGTCATGACAAGTTTTCTTAGATTGACCATCCATTTGGGAATGAAAAGATGTACTAAACTTTAATTATGTAACTAAGAATTTTTATCGATTTTTCAAAACTTAGAAGGGAACGTTGGATCTTTATCAGAAATAATTACATAATGTCTAATGTATCAAATGATTTTCTTAATATATAAGTCTATCAGTTTATCCAAAGAATGCTTCTTATTAATAGGGAGAAAATTAACAGATATAGTAAGTCTATCCACTACTACCCACTCTCACTATCATTCAGGAAGTAAAATCTTTTGTAATCTTTTTATAAATACTTGATGTTCTACTATTACCTATTAGCAAATCAAATATTTATACACAAATTTTATTATGTCTTTCTCTAATATCATACTATGAATAGCTTTGACGTATATTCTGATACATTTTGGTAGTTCTATGATGAATATTAAATGAGCCTCATCTAATAGTTACATCTTTACTAAATGATTTTTGAGAATACAAAGTCAATTATAAATTCTAATAGAACCATCCTCGACTTTGAGGAATTCTGATCTAGATCTTTGAGCTATCTCCTTAACTATCATCTAAAGATATACATCTTTCTTTAACTTTCTTTAATCCTTTTTACTTTCTATAACTATAAGACTTAAAAACTTTCACATCAATAACAACATCAGCCTTCCTAAATGATAGTTAATATTAAAATTATAATCCTTTAAAAAGTCTAATTATATTCTTTGACTCATTTAACTCTTTTTAAGTAAAGATATACTTGAGACTCCTACGAAGATTTTAAGAGTCTATCCATAGAAATAATACATCCAAATTTTTAGTACAAAAATGATAGCTACTAACTTTAAGTCATGATACACTATCTATCTAAATAGTCACAAACAAAGGCACTACAATGTGATACACTACGTTGAATGAAGTCCTCGTTCAAAAACTCTTGAATCTGCTTCTTTAACTCATCCAACTCAATTTGGTAATTATAGAGAGATTTAGAAACAAGTACATTGTTAGGTAGAATATCAATTGTAAATTTAATCTGCTTGTTAGGTAATAGTTTAGGCAGGTCTTCAGGAAATATTATCAACCTTCCTTAAAAAAATAATATTTTATGACAGCTTGATTACTTAAAGCTCTTTGTTATTAATGTACGAACTATTTACTCTTGCCCTTCTTTGAAAATCTAGAATGTGATGCCTCATAAAAAATGATGTAACACTAAAAGGTCGTTTTCGATCTTATGTTTATTGCAATTCACTATCTGATTTTTCTACCACCAGAGCTCGATTGAGTACTTTAGCATATATTGGTAAAATCAATATAACAATAGATTTTTCAATATATGGACAAAGTCTTCTATCGAAATGATAAGCTTTTTAATATTTATTAGATAATATGTAAACAGAACTAAGCCACCTCAGTGAAATAATGATGATACTCCATTATAGTCTTGTTTCCTTGGTGGATGCTAAGGAACTCATGTTGTTTCTCAAAGAAGAATGGCTCATGTTGAATCAAGGAAGAACTGCTCATATAATATATTTTTAAATTACTCATAGTCATCATATTGCCTCTTGCCTCCAACATCCTCCTTGTTTTAAGTCCACCGTATACCTTCTATTCTTAAATGAAAGAACTAAAAGCACCTTCTGATTTTCTTTACATTTAATAGTTTCATATGTTTTTTCTATTTAATATATCCAACGTTTAGCAAAGATTAGATTTGGTTCTGCATTAAAAAATAGATAGTCTCAAATTCTTAAAGTGATTGAAAGAGTTATTTCCACCTAGCTGAGCTCAATCCCACTCCTATCGATGCTCAAAATAGCCTCTAACAATATCAAGGACTCCGTGTACATTATCTGAGATATTAACAGGTAGTAAAGAATAAGGTGCATTCTATGGTATCAGAGAAGTTAGCACATAATTAATGATAGGTGTATGCGAGCACTAAGTTTGCTTTAATAAAATATATGAAACTTCCAAGTTAGAGTCTCTACAAATATCTCTTTATGTGTATAGGCCAATAATATTGGAACCACGAGAACCCAAGTAGTAGGACCACTATTTTTATGAATTGGCTTTATAACTCATATAATATGTTAAAGACAATCATCAGTCAAAATCAATCCTAAGACCTAAACATCTATAAGCCCTAAAGTA